TCCTGGAGGTCCATGGGCTGCCTCAGGTGTAGAATTTGGCCCAGGAGAGAACTAATGCCAAGTCTGTCATGCTCAGGTGGGGCACCTAGTGTGCAAGACACGTGCTTCTGCCTCGAGGTTTTCCCCCCAACCCACAGGAGACAGGGGGCCTGTGGTCATGGTGTGCCCCTTCTGGTCCCTTGGTGACCCACATCTTTGGTTTCCAGCTCCACGTCAGTGCAAACCCTCTCCACCACTTCGTTAGCCAGCTGTTTTGATTGACCTTATGAGAACAAGGAGTCACTGGGACTCCACACAGGCTCACCTCCGTGCCTTCACATCCCCACAGGATCCATTAGATGGCACGGTGGCAGGACTTGAGGGTACTAATTGGCCTTAATCACCCTGACCAGCCTCACTTGTGGATGGACTCACCCCCACACACACACACCCACCTCTGCCCAAGGCCCAGGAGCCCCATTTAAGCTCAGGCTTGAGTCTCTAGTCCCTGCTTTGGATGTGTTGTAAGAGTGCCGGTCTGATGTCCTGGCTCTGGCCCTGTCTCTTGGGTAGACCTTGTAGGCTGTAGGTATCTTGTCTCCTGGCTGGATGACCCCTTTGGTGTTGTAGCCCTGTCTTCATCCCCATCTCCTGCTGCTGCCGAATGGATGCCCCCTAACCCTCCCGAATGGATCCTGGATCTGGTTCCTCACTTTGGTGTGTCTGAGACCGTTGATGGACCCTGTTACCAGCATCTGGCTCTGCTAACCATGCTCAGACCCTGTTGGGACCTCACCTCACCGGTGAGGATGCTGCCTGTGCTGGGGTCACTCTTGGCTCCTGGCTTGTCCCCTCTCACTGCTCCCTGCAGTCTGGACCTGGCAGTCAGACACCTCTGCCATTGTCTTCTCCGAGCCCTGACTTCTCTCCAGGGTGATGTGTGAGGGGCACGGTTATTCCCGTGAAGCAGAGACCCTGCAGTCTCCATCCTCTCTGGTTTGAGACTTGGATTGTGACTTATGAAATGTCCGTCCCTGCTCGGCACGGTGGTTTTCTATGAAATGTTGTGTAAGCACACTCATGCTTAGGGCAGCCTCTGGTCAAGCTAACGGACCACCACTTTCATAGTGCTGGCTTAGCAGAATGCAGGATGTCCGCTTAGCTGCTTTGGCTCTCCGGTTGCACAGCTGCGGTTCTGCTATGTGGCTGTGGTTCTTCCATGCTTTGTGTTTGCTTAATCTCCACTTTTATGAAGATTGTGTCCCTGTTCACGTCACCGTAAGGGCTGCTCTTGTAGCTGAAGTGCCCCTTGGGTAAACACACACAGAGGTTGTCAGGACTCTCCAGGGTCATACCTCTTCAGTGACCATCTCAGGTGATGGGGGAAGCTTCATTTCTGAAGCACCTTTGAATTCTGCCAGGTAAGCTACAGGGCCACAAAGCAAGTAATATAAAAAAATAATAGAAAGAAGCCTTTCCCTTCCCAAAAAGTAAAAGAATAAATGTCAGAGGGTCCCCAGGGAGTCGTGAATTGTCTGACTGCGATAGCGACGGCTTGAAAACCTGAGAAAGGGGAAGCAGAGCATCCCAGGCCAGATCTTCTGCCAGATAAGCAAGCACAACTCTGCTGAAGCAGGCCCCCACTAGTATTTTTACTTCTCAAGGTCCTCACCAGAACAGCCTCTTCCTTCTTCCCTGACCCTGGCTGCTGGGTGCCCCTGTACTTGTTCAGCCACCAGCGCTATGTGCTGCCCCGGCCGCCCACCCAAAGCATCCCCCATAGCTGAGGAGCGGTTGGGTGAAGCCCCAGGCCCCAGGGAGACGTGCCATGGGCTTGTAGCAAGACCATGCCTATCCATCCCCAAAATCCTTCTGCGTTGATCAGGGTCCAGCCCTTGGATGGTGACTTTGCCCCAGGCGTGGTTAGGGCAGGCTGTGCGCTCCCTTGGTCCGTGGCTGCAGGGGAGCCGGCATTCCCCCAGCTTGAGGACATCTGCTATGGGTATGACAGCATCATGCCACCTGCGCTTGGTGGCTCTGCTCCTGTGCACACCACAGGCAAGACAAAAATGCATCGGGAGCAGCAAAATGGCCCATGTCCCCAGCTCGGCGTTGCCAGTTTGGCTGCAGCTCTCAGGGTGTTGTGGTCTCCAAAAGGCTGCCTGCTGGGACGGTCTCCATGGGATGGGAGGCTACTCCGGTCCCAGCAGCCGTGGCCCGGGTTTGGGGAGAGGCTCCTGGAGAGGCACGTGAGTCTGCAAGAAGGGAGCCTGGGGCAGAGCAGAGGTGGGGAGGTGGCCGAGAAGGGAAGGGAGCACCCGCAAAGCTGTGGGAGAAAGGAAAGATGCTTTTGGGTACCAGCAGGAAGGCACGAGGAGTTTATTATAGCCCAGGGAGACACTGAGTCACTGGGTTGAACACACAGAGGAAGGACTGGCACTGTTGTGGGATTGTGGGACCTGTTTAGAAATGCTTTATTTTTAGTCCTCTGGCGGCTACACAGCATGGGTGGCCTCATGCCAGCTCCTCCTGGGCCAAGTCACGCTTTGGAGACGTAGGGACTCTGTCTCTCCACAGGAGCTGAGCCAAAGCACAGCAGCTACAGCTGCCTGAGTATGTACTTTAATCATCTCTACTAGGCTGGGAAGAGCCTTGGCATACCCCGCCTGGGCGCCCTGCGCCTTCAGCGGCAGGAGATGCGTCTCCTGCTGCAGCTGGGGTTGAGGAGACCTGGGCATGACCAGAGCAGTTCTCAGCACTGGGTGGTTTTTTCCCCCAAGTTTTTTAAAAGGCACCCAGGGATGACACAGTCCCAGGCATAATGTCCTGCTCCAAAGGGGCAGAGGGTGGCTGGGGGGTGCCAATGTGAAGAAGGGCTTGAGGTGGCCCCTTGGGTAGCTCACAGTGGATAAGGGCGGACCGCGGCGCCCCGGCGATCTGCATGGGACCCTGCTGCTCCACGCATCCACTTACAGCCTGGAAAAAAAGAGGGAATGGGGAAATAAGCTTCAGAGCAGGGGCTGTGCATGACTGGCAAGGACCTGCAGAAGGGTCTGGTGGTCTGAATGGCCAGGTGAGGAAGGGGGAGTCAAGCACAGTGGGGAAAAACTGTCCCCAGGTTAACACAGAGAGGCTGACCCCCTTTCTGCAGGTCCCTGAAGGATCTGGGAGGCTTCAAGGCTGCAAAGGGAGGAAGATGTTGGAAAAACACCCAAGAACTTTGAATACTAACTTTTCCTTCCACTTCCCTCAGCCTGATTCAGCCTCCTGCCCTGCCCTTGAAGCCAAGGCGCTAAGCAAGGGAAAGCTTGGCTGCACCCCCTTCTCCTTTCACCCCATGCTTCCTAGCTATAAACAGGGATTTTTGGTGGAAAACTTGTGTTCCTCTCCATAGGAACAGCGTGGAATGTGGTGCAATTTCTGGCAGTATTTGACATCTTGCAGCTTTAAAGCCACAGAGGGCTGGTGGCAGCAGCAGTCACCGCGTTTCTGCTTAATACTCCCCGGGGAGTTCACAAGTCATCCAACCATCTCCAGCATGTTTATGTTGGCTCTGGGGCTGAAAAGTGACTTTGCGTGGAAAGCCGGGCTTTGCCTTTCCCATCGCTGCGAATCCCCTCTCCGTGGATTTGGGAGCCCTCGAGTTTATGCCTCCGCAGACGAGGATTTCACTTCCCTCGTGGACCCCGCAGACCACAGACCCGTCTCGATAAACGCAGAAGTTGCCAAAGTCTCCCCAGTCTTTCTAGGTATCATCTCGGTCGGTAACCCTGAAGATCCCACGTGACATGGAAATCCCCTTGGCCAAAGAAAACATACCAAGTTTTTTAAAGGCACCCAGGGATGACACAGTCCCAGGCATAATGTCCTGCTCCAAAGGGGCAGAGGGTGGCTGGGGGGTGCCAATGTGAAGAAGGGCTTGAGGTGGCCCCTTGGGTAGCTCACAGTGGATAAGGGCGGACCGCGGCGCCCCGGCGATCTGCATGGGACCCTGCTGCTCCACGCATCCACTTACAGCCTGGAAAAAAAGAGGGAATGGGGAAATAAGCTTCAGAGCAGGGGCTGTGCATGACTGGCAAGGACCTGCAGAAGGGTCTGGTGGTCTGAATGGCCAGGTGAGGAAGGGGGAGTCAAGCACAGTGGGGAAAAACTGTCCCCAGGTTAACACAGAGAGGCTGACCCCCTTTCTGCAGGTCCCTGAAGGATCTGGGAGGCTTCAAGGCTGCAAAGGGAGGAAGATGTTGGAAAAACACCCAAGAACTTTGAATACTAACTTTTCCTTCCACTTCCCTCAGCCTGATTCAGCCTCCTGCCCTGCCCTTGAAGCCAAGGCGCTAAGCAAGGGAAAGCTTGGCTGCACCCCCTTCTCCTTTCACCCCATGCTTCCTAGCTATAAACAGGGATTTTTGGTGGAAAACTTGTGTTCCTCTCCATAGGAACAGCGTGGAATGTGGTGCAATTTCTGGCAGTATTTGACATCTTGCAGCTTTAAAGCCACAGAGGGCTGGTGGCAGCAGCAGTCACCGCGTTTCTGCTTAATACTCCCCGGGGAGTTCACAAGTCATCCAACCATCTCCAGCATGTTTATGTTGGCTCTGGGGCTGAAAAGTGACTTTGCGTGGAAAGCCGGGCTTTGCCTTTCCCATCGCTGCGAATCCCCTCTCCGTGGATTTGGGAGCCCTCGAGTTTATGCCTCCGCAGACGAGGATTTCACTTCCCTCGTGGACCCCGCAGACCACAGACCCGTCTCGATAAACGCAGAAGTTGCCAAAGTCTCCCCAGTCTTTCTAGGTATCATCTCGGTCGGTAACCCTGAAGATCCCACGTGACATGGAAATCCCCTTGGCCAAAGAAAACATACAGGGCTTTCACTTGAATTTGGTTGAAATTCTTTGGAAAAGGGCTAATGTGGGGAGGGGGTGGAGAGGATAAATTGCAGACCTCCGTGCCAGAGCTCACATTTGTGCTCCTCCAAAGAGGCAGAGCAGCACCCTGCGAGGAAGAGCCCTCACACAGCCACCATGCTCGCTGCAAGGACGGTCCTGGTGCTCACGATGCTACTCACCCTCTCCCCACACTGTGATGCAGGTAAGGCACCTCGCGGGCCACTGCTGCGGGTCGGAGCTGGGGGTCATCCCGTCGGGGAGGTCAGGCAAGAAACCCCGTTGTGGAGCGGGGACAGTGCTGCTGGCAGGAGGAGCAACCCCCTGGTTGGTGCAGGGCTGCACGTCCCGGGGTGCAGGGAAGGACGGAGACTGTTCCCGGGGCCGGGTGGCTTCGGCAAAGCCGGCTGCAGGGCTGTTGGTGCTGGACGATAACCTAGAGCGTCCTCCTGCCCCAGGAAGGAAGGAGGGCACCTGGGGCTCCTCGTGGCAGCATCTGCAGAACCTGGGGGATGTTGTGTGCATCAGCCTTGTCATGGGGGAAGGTCTTAAAGACTGCTTTCCAAAGCCAGCGTTCACCGGCTCTCTTTTTCTTCTCCAGCCCTTTACACACTGTCCGAGTGCTGCTTCAGTTACATAAAGTCCCCTCTCCGGCTGGCTAACCTGAAGGGTTTCTACACAACCCCCAAGGAGTGTTTTATGCCAGCAATTGTGTAAGTCTTGGTAATTTCTCCACCGCTGTGCTCTCTCCTGGGACACCACAGGTTCAGTTCATCCATCCCATCTGGGGACGGGACCGGGCCAGGTCTGTGTGGCCTCCACGAGTGGCTGTCTTCCAGCGTTAAGAGGGGAGGACTTGACTGTCTGGTCACTTCTGCAGGGTCAAGTTAAGGACACAAGTTCATTGCAGCTCCTGAAGGCTCTGCACAGGCTCTAGAGTCACTGGGACGCAGGATGAGCTGCTTGTAGGACACCAAGTACCCAGGGGTAGCGTGCAGGGCCAAAGGGAAAGGAGAAGGAACGCAGGGAAGGGAGGATGGCATGGACATGAGTGGGATTATAGCTGTCATGTCTCACCAAGCTTCACCTTTCATCTCGGCAGGTTTGAGATCAGGAATGGAACCAAGTTCTGCACGAACCCAGCGATGACTTGGGTGGAGAAAGCAGTTCAGAGGCTTCAAAAAAGGAAAAGACTTCGTGCCCTGTAATGTAGAGCGGGTGCCCTGGTTCAGGCTACCCAATGTCCTGGTGGGGAGGAAGGTTTATAGTCATCCTCCTGGAAAGGCCTGCGGAGGTCCCCGATGCTGATGGACGGCACTGACTCCCCAGAGCCCTGCACCACATCGACCAGCTGGGCACCAGCTCCTGGGGTGCTGCCGGCCCTGCCAGCACCTGCCCGCTGAGCACAGCCACAAAATAAAGGTTTACTTCATGTGGTATTGGAGAGTAGTGTCCTTTCTTCTCCCAGCCCCAGCAACTGTGCTGCTGCCGGCTGGTCGAGGCACGGAGCTGGCCAAGGGGCTGGGGTGGGATGGGAGCTCTTCCCACTGCCTCCCTCATGGGTCTCACTGGGGCAGGCAGGGAGGGGGACGGGACTGTGCTGCATGGATGCTCTGGGCATTTGGGTACTCGCTTCAAGGGGACCCAAAAGGGGTTGAAGACTCCTCTGAGGGCTTTTAGGTGCAAAACTGCCATCGGTTTTGGGCTTAGAGCTTTCAGCTTGTCCCTTGCGTTGCCCCGTGCATGCCACAGCCTGGCTGCCACATCTTCCCCAGGTCATAGAATCATAGAATCATAGAATCATTGAGGTTGGAAAAGACCTCTAAGATCATCAAGTCCAACCATCGACCCAACACCACCATGCCCACTAAACCATGTCCCTAAGCGCCTCATCTACTCGTCTTTTAAATGCCTCC